CTCTTGTTCATCTGATCAGATTTGAGGTCAGATCAGGTTCACTACAGAAACAACAATTTATAACAAAATATGACCTAAACTGGATTGTAAATAGTTCTGGGCTCTCAAGAGATAAATACCACCACATGCTCTCATTAAATGACAGATAAACTTTGCAAATACAAGTACGACAGTAGCACATCAAAGCTAACGGCTAACACTAGATCTGCAAGGCAGCGCACTCAAAGACCCACAACTCGGGATCCTGGATATGAACGAGGAAAGCTGATATTTTAGCCTTTATACGAGGGGAAATTTCCTAAATTATGAGAGTAAATGCAAAGTGCATTAGCTGAAGAGCTTGTTACTCTGGATTGTAATTACATAATATAGACCTTCTCAAACATCCAGAATGGGTAAAATACTTAAACATCTATCTGTAGAAGCTGGATTAGCAGACGTGTGTGAGAGGATCTACAGGTTTAGATTTTCCTGCTCTCCCTTATGTTGTCAGCTCCTGTCACACCTGTCCCTTATGCTAATCACCACAGGTCTTCTTCATTAACTTTCATTAGTGTCCTTTATATTGTGTCTTCTCGTTTGTCCACGATTGTTCAGTATGGTGTCATATTTGTTTTCCCTCTATCATCTCCTCAAAGTAAATTTGCTGCCCCGTCAGCTTATCCTAAATAAACTTATGCTTATTTTACTTTCGTCTCCGTGGTCTGCCTGCATTTGGCTTCAACGCCTAATACCAGAAAATCCTGAGTGTGGTGATCCAAATTACCAAAGGAGAGAAATTTCACTTTTTACTCGAACCGACATGCATCTTACTCACAAAATGATTAACTGCCAAAGCTGAACGACACGGGGGTGGAGCAAACAGCAGAGGACATCACAGTCTCCACATCATCCAGGACATCTACCACAGCCAATGTCTGCGTAAAGCATGAAGCATCATTAAGGACCACACCCACCCAGCACAAGGACTCTTCCATCTACTACCCTCAGGCAGACGATACAGGAGTCTGCCATCGCGTACAAAAAGACTAAAGGACAGTTATTATCCACAAGCTGTCAGATTACTAAACTCGATAAATAACACTGAACAACTGACAATAACTTTGCACCAAGCCACATCTGTGACAACTAATATGACTAATATTAGCTTGTGACAGCTAATATGTTTATTATTTATCGCTGCTGCACTATGTGGCTGTATCTAGTCTGATACTGTATCATGTATGATACAATATCTATGTATCTACCTTACCATCATAATTCAATCTCAGTGTTAATTATGTGCAATATATATATATATATATATATATATATATATATATATATATATATA